ATTAAATAACAGTATTTTAAATTTGTAGATAAAGTTGAAAATTATTACAAGAAAGGTAGATGTTAATAATTCAAACTTAAAACTATGTTTAAAAAGATATTAATAACAATAACATATCTAGGCTCATTAAGAATATTATATATATATAATTTGAGCCAGTTTTAGATTATAATAACAACACCAGCTTTGCTCTATCTTTACAAAACCAAAAATATATAAAAATTTTAGATTTTTGAAATTTGATAATTGTATTTTCTTTAGAGATTTTAGTTTCAGTAATGTCAATAATATTAAGGTTGTTAGAGAGACAAAAATCTTTCCAAACTTGTCTTTTAAAGTCTTTATTATATCCTTGTATATTATGAGTACAGATTAATATATTAAGATTTTAGCTTTGGAAGCTAGTAGATAAATCATTATAGTAGAGTTCAACAAATTCTGATATATCAGGAGTGTCTAGTATGCTGAGAAAATACAGATTTTCTAACAGCACATAGAATACAATAATTTATAAAATTTTTAATTATATCTTGTTTTATCTAACCCTATTTTTTACATATAAACTTTTATATCTGTTTCTGTTTTCCATGTTGAGTAACCTTACTATGAACTTAACAAAGAATCTCATAAAATTACTCGATTTTTATTATATAGCATGTGATCCTTAGGGATCAATAAAATGGTTTTATTAATTACGATTTTTTCACATTTTGATTCAAAAGATTAAGTATATAATTGTTCAGAATTTCTTCTAAAGTGTTACTGCTTATAAAAGTGTATTTTATGCTTAAATGCAACAAGGTAAAGTGAAACGATTCAAAAAGCCCAAGGAAGAAAAGTCAAAAGACAAAAAAAAAAGAGACCATATAAGGGATTTATATACCCCCATTAGACTCCGACAAACTACAAAACTACGATAAGCATCTAATTACTTCGTTTTACTATAATTTACTATCGCTATGATTATCGAAATTTGTTTAATGATCATCTGCGTCATATTGCAGTTGAGGCATCTTAGATAACCGATCACAAGTCACGCATCTCACCTGAAGATCGACATCTGAGGTGAGTCAGCTGCAATCTGACTCGAAGGGATATATATCAACGTCATATGCAATCTATAAAAGACCTCATTATAAAACCTGAAAAATGCGATTAACATGAATAGACAAAAATTCAGCTAAAGAAATTCTTCGTAACACATTCACAACGAATCCAATTTCTAATAAATTAAAGGTCAAAACTGAACATTCCACTCATATTCGCATTTATTATTAAGCTTATTAATTATATTTGGAAACACTTGAAACCGCAATTCAAACATAAAATTGATTTTCTTAACGAACTAACCAGTTTAAACCTTAATCAAAAAAATTTAAATCAACTTTCGATATCGTATTAAAATAAAAAAAAATTTATTTAAATTACTTGATCTCGAAATTCGATTGACCAATACAACAAACAAATTCTCAGCGCATATGCAATTGATCCTTCAATCTACTATGATCTGCATCCATCAATGATTTTCAACAGAAGGATAATACTATTACTAAGTGTATAAGCGAACAATAGTTGTATTATCTGTCAAAGATCTATTAGATGCTATTCGGCCGTTATTGAATGCACCTAACAACTTTCTTCTGAATAATGACGTTAGTTATCGTGCAAACTCTTATGATCATAGATTTTTTCTTGTTATTTTTTGCACGTTATTACGTAAGCACAACAATCCCGAATTAAGATTCAGTTAGCCAACCACGACACGTAAATCATGATCATAATTGCACGATAACATCGATATTGGATCATGCAATGATAAATATCACAAAATTTGTTCTGTCGGAGCAAATGATTGGCCGAAACGTTCCGCTACGCAGCACATGTCAGTTGCTCCGACAAAACAAATTTCATGATATTAATCGTTGCATGACCAATATCTTATACTTATCAATTATTTCATAAATTAATAATACATGGCTGAATAATTTACTATAAAATAGATGTGTTTAAACTGTGGCTTAAAGTTTAATAATCATAAAAAGGCTATCATATGATTAACTGTTTAAATCAATTTAATTTTACATTGATTATACAATCTAAAATCTTGTCAGAGGCAAAATGACCCGCGAACGTTACGCCCGAATTCGTCGTGAAACGGTGCTCGTGACCACAAAGAATCGAACGACGATCCCCCTGCAGCAAGTCGTGAAAATGTATGCGCAAGCCAAGCCCCATTAACGATTACGCCGTAGATCTTATTGAGAAAAAAAACCACCTTCCCAATTTAGCTTGACAATGTTAAAGTAATATTACCTAGTCGGGTAAAGTGTGTGGTCGTGGTAATGAAGCGCGATTGTGCAAATGGGTGGGAAATTCTAAAGTAACGAAATTGGCGTGAAGATTTTTCTTTTTTCTTTCACCTGTAAAATGTATAAAAAAATCCCTTTAGTTCTAGCAGAAAATGTAAGAAAGTGGTTAGTCAAAATAAAATAATAAATAAAAAAGACCCCAATTCGACACTAATAAAGACCACCTTGATCTTCGTTCACGTGTAATATCATATTTGACTAAAAGCTTTAGACCGCCAAATCGTATCCGCCTCTATTCGCCGAATATAGTTACACGACACCCTTCTTTTGTTGGGTGTATGGTTGGTTGTTTTTCCTGTGACAATATATTCAAAAAAAAAAAATAAAAGAGTAAAAAAAAAAAAGTATGTAGAAAATTTTATTAGGGTTATAGTACTCTACCGGGCGTATCAAAAGTTTTTATACACGGTCACTAAAAGTAGATTTAAATAGACCCCAAAATATTATAAATTTAAGTACCGTATAATACAATATCACTAAATTTATTTAATTAATAATTATTACATAATAAAGATAATCGTCATGATCACTGTATGGATCACTTAAAAAAGCGTTACTTAAAAAAAAATGGACCGTGTACAAGACTTTTGATACATCCGGTATAACTGAAAATAATCAAAATCTTGTTTATTTTAGAAAGTTAGCATGATAATAACCTAATTCTGTATATTTTTCAAAAGTCGTTACTATGCTAACTTAAGAAGGGATTTTTATTATTTTTAAAAACCAATTAATACAAAAAAAAAACTTTATTAACTGCGGATATAGTTTCTATGGCCTTACTTATCAGTTAAAATCCCAGATCCTGCTCAAAATCGACTATTGTTGCGGCAGAATTCATCTGCATACGTATCTATATGACGTTTAATGCAAGAACTCATTGCAAGTTTTTAAACCTTCTAATTCTTTGAATGAGCTCATCTGTACGATATTGTGAATTTGTAAAAGTAGAACTTGTTTCTAATTCTATGAATGAGCTCATCTGTATGATATTGTGAATTTGGTAAAAGTAAAACTTGTTTACTTTTTTCTTACAAACATAAGATCTGCAACAATTATTAACTAGATATGTAAATTAATCAAAAACCTTCTACGTAACTTTAACACTGATTACAGGATTAAAATTAATAAGCATTGGGCAGTTGCAACTTTCACTGATTTTATAACTGATAATTATTCATTTGACGATTAATTAATCATTTGTAAAATATATATAAATAGAACATATACCAGAAAATAAAATTTATCAGATTCATTACTTTTTTAAAAAAATGGCTATCTCTAATATTATTTTTGTACTTAAATTTACTGATTATCTTATCCTAACCGTATTCTTTTTCTTAGTTCATGTCTTTCAATTTTATTATAAATATCTTACGCGTTCTAACAAGTTACCAGGACCATTACCTCTTCCCTTTATAGAATGTTCTTATTTGTATACAGGGGATAGTAAACGTCTATTTACCTTTCTTCAACAAAAATATGGTGACTTATGTGAATTTTACAGTAACGGATCACGAAGGATAATAATTTCGAATCCTGTATATCTAGAAAAAATGTTAACCCCTTCATCTAAGGATACTACATTCTTTGCAAGATTTCCATATTTAGAAGGAATTGAAGAATTTGGAATGGCTGGAAGAGGCATAATTGCAAATCATGATTTAAAAAGTTGGAGATTTAATCGACAATTCTTTAATCAAGCAATTCTTACTCCAAGTTTTAATAATGAATCTATTAAATGGTCTAATCAATTGCTTCAAGAGTTAGAAGGTTATTGGAAATCTCTTGGTGAACTAAATTTATCTGGTGATAATAATAATGATTGGTCTCTTGAATTAGATTTAACAAAATGGTCAAGTAGATTTACGAGTGATATGATAACAGTTTTAATCACTGGTGAAAGATCTTATACCATGGCTTCATATTATAATATTTTCAGTCCAGTGAAAGTAAATCGTACTGGTGCATTGATTGAAGATTCAGAAAGATTTGTTCAAGGAATTAGTTATCACCTTGCCGGATTCACCTATTTTTTGTATGTTGGTCCAATCTTACGTCATTACTCGCCATTTATTAGACCTAAAGTTATATCTTTACTTAAAAATCGTGATTATTTGTTTGAAACACTAAATATGATTATTAAAAAGAGAAGAAAAGAGATTGACGAGACTCCAATAGACAAAGAATTAGGGCATGATATGTTGACATCTTTAATAATTGCAAATACAGAAAGAAATAAGAATCGTATAAGTACTGATGATGGTACCTTTAGACCAATGACAGACGTTGAGATTAGAGGTAACTTGCTTGACGCTTTCTTAGGTGGTGTTGATACTGTAAGTATTAATAATACTTGGAATAATAATAATATGTTGAACAATTAATAATATTTTGAATAATATTGTTTTATTAATTACGTTTATCAATTAATTTTAATCTTTTAAAAGACATCAAATTCATTCAGTTACTTAACCTACTACGTCTGCCACCACCCTCAAGTTAAACAAAAAATGATTGCCGAAATTGACTCAATATTTCCTCCAAGTACACCTCTCAATTTGAAGTATGAAGACCTCTTAAAATTAGAATATTGTGATGCGATTATTAATGAATCTAGTCGAATGGTGCCACTTACAGTTGATGTCGGAAGATATCTTGAATACCCTGGAGAATTAGCTGGGTATCAATGGGAAGCTGGAACATATCTCCATATGAATATAACTGGTATCCATTCACATAAAGATGTTTGGCCTAATCCTGAAGTTTTTGACCCAGATCGATTTTATAAAAAAGATGATAGCAATAATTTGAATGATAAAACAAGGCCTAAATATTCGTTTTTACCATTTGGTGGTGGATTACGTATATGCCCTGGAAGAAAGTTGGCGATTATGGAATTACTTTCATTAATGGTAATGGTATTTGGAAAGTATGATGTTGAGTTAATTGATATGAAAGCGCCGTTACAAATACAAACCACTGGTGTATCTCTTTGTAAGGGGTTGCCAATTAGAATTAGACCTAGAAAATTTCTATTTCAATCGTAGTTTCTTTTGTAGCTATTATAAAGCTTTCTTGTTTGTTTTCTTTTGCATAATTTTGTTTTCATAAAAATATTTATTTTCGTGAAATGCTTCAATTTCTCATGGTCTTTGGTCAACAATAAAATTATTATAAGAAATCGAAATTATAACCAATATAATTTTAACGTTTACTACTACTGTAATTCTCCCAAAGTTCTGATTCTGATCATCAGTAAACAATTCGGATGTAATCTGAAAAAAAAACACTTCAAATTTTCTCCAAGAAATTAATTTTTACGCACTAGCAAAAAATTTTTTCGCAAGACATACTGCATAAATTGTATTCTTGATATCTATATAGCTCAATAGCCTGTATCTATGATATTTAGCTTGGCGAAATGTAAATCTACTGCTCTTAAAATCGTCCCGATTACTTGTGCAGGCAGTATATCTCATAAATTTGAATCATCTCTATGTTTCTACAATTCCTTAAAAGATCAGAAGATATTACTTATGAACTTTCTGTTCTATAATGTAATTCCTCCGTTTTAATTTGTTTTGTGGATGATGTATCTTGTTCTAAGACCGACTGTGACGAAGGCACAGGAGGGACATTATTCGCAAGGATTGCCTAACCACATGATCACAAAGGTCATTAGACCTGGTGACGCTTGTATGAAGTCATAGATCCAATGAATTACTTATGATGATGAAGTCACTAATCTAGTGAGTCTGAGGATAAGCAGAAATAAGACACTAATTCAAAAAAAGGGAAGTTGTGTTTTTCTTTCGCTGCTTTTAGTAGTTGTCCGAAACACTATTTTCTGACTAATCGAAAGGTTCTTCCCTCCAACCTCACCC